ATACACGCGACTTCTCTCCCATCTGACGCCGATCCCGAATAAATGCTGCCGCTCGCTACAGACTGACTTGCGCATCCTGCTTCTTCGAAACTGCTCAACTCTAAATTGGTCGTCAGAGGCCCGCCTTCAAATCTCTTCTATGGATCTGGATGGCGGCGTGACTTGTACCGTCGCCAGCCAGCACGGGCATTGACGCTCATCCCTTCGCATGCAAAGCCCTATGGGACAACATCAGGCCCTTCCGATCTTTGGATTTTAGCCGTGTTATGCCAGCGGGCGTTCGGTTTCGGGAGCTTTCGGGCGGGGCCAACTGATGGCTAAGGTGCAGGAGTTATCATGTAAACAGCCCAATTGGGGGTCAAGTCCCCCATCCACCGGGTTTGGTATCTATTTCCCTTTCACCGAGCTGCCACGCCAGTGGTACGGAAACCGCGAAGGATCCGCCAGCTGCTGCAGGAATGAGAGGTCTTATAGCTTCAAGAGCGACCTTATCAAGCCAGCGCATTCAGTACATTAATGTAGACGCCAGCGGCGGTAGTAGTCGTTTTCTTTGTGATGGATCAGGGACGGTCAGGGGCGACGGGCCCTGCTCGTGGAGGGTTGGAGAGGTATGGCCAAATTGAGAGGAGGCATAGTCCTCTTGAGAGTTATTCGAGGGGGAATAGCCCTCTTGAGAGGTATGGGAGGGGGAATAGTCCTCTTGAGAGGTATGGGCAAGAGGAGCCTCGATGGAACGCGCAGGTCCTATCGCGAGCTACTACTGCAACCAACGTCTCGACTCAGGACACAAGGGGAAATCCTCATTGTCTGAGTCAAGATTCACGTGCAATTGCGGCGGGACATAGCGGTCCCTCCCCTTTTGCGTTGGAGCTCGGAGCATTGAGGCGGAGGCCTTCTGAAGGCCAGCGCGAGTCCAGCGGGGGGCGGAAGCGGAAGAGATCGCGCGGAGATCCGCTGCTGAGCAAGGGGGAGATCAAGGCGGCGGCTGCTAGCGATGATGACGAGGCTCTTGCTGCTCGCCTGATCGCGGGGAAGCTTCTTCCCTCCCCGTCGGCCTCTTTCACAGGTGACTGCTTCTGTACCTCTTGGTCTACTCCCCTTGAGGGCCAACAGAAATGCGGAAGATTGCAAATTTTGCATGCGTTCAGTCTGTCCGCGAATCCCTTTTAAGAATCCGCTTTCTGCATGTCTGCGTGCTTTCTTATCTCTGATGCAACTCTTTCTGTCCTTCTTTCTATGCTTTCACAACGATTCGCCCGTGCAGGAGCGGTGCAAGCCATCATCCATAAAGCACGCCTTTCTGCAGCCTCAGAACATCCATTCGACCCCCTCGGCCCCCCACCAACTGCGTTCGCCTCTTTTCCTCCCTCCTTATTTCCCAGCTCCTCTAATGCAACGGCTGCTCATCTCTCCTCTTCGTCCCAGCTTCCTGTGCCTGAACGAAGCTCTTTAAATTCGCTTCCCCTTCTCGCGCGTGGCACCAGTCCTATGGATCGTTTTACCCAGGATCAATCGTCCAGCTATCTGAATCGACTGTGTGGGGGATTTTCAGTGCAATCTTCCAGCCATACGGACCCCGCTTCAAGGAATCTTCCTGTGCAATCGTCTGGCCATGGGGACCCTTTTACCAGAGACCTTCCTGTGCAAGCTTCCAGTCACATGGGCCCCTTTACCAGAAATCCTCCTGGCCTATCCAGCTATACGGACCCCTTTTCCAGGAAGCTTTCTTTGCAGTCATCCGGTGTTACCGACGCGTTCACCAGAAATCTTTCTGGGCGATCTTCTGGTCTCGCAGACCTTTTTTCCAGGAACCTTCCTGTGCAGTCACCCAGGCACGTGGACCCTTTTACCAGGAACTTTCCGGTGCAGTCTTCCAGCCTGATTGACCCTATCATCAGGAACCTACCTGCGGAAACTTCTGGGCGTATGGACCTTTTTACTAGGAACCTTCCAGTGTATTCCAGCCACAGTGACCAGTTTCCTGGGAATGTACCACCTTTGAGCCATACCGGCCTCCCCGCTGGAAATCTCCCTATCCAATCATCCGGCTACATGCAATCATACAGCCACATGCAACTAATTACCAAAATGCAACTATCGAGCCACCTGGTGTCATCGGGCCTCGCGGGCTTCAAGCCTCCCGTCAATGAGGCGCCTTCCAGTTGCGTGGGTCCAGCTCGTTCTTTTTTTTCTCCGGAGGATGAGCTCCGGAAGCTACAGGCAGCGGGACCCAGATTGCCGTCCACATATGAGTGCAAGGAGTGTGGGAGGACGTTCTCCCTGCCTCAGTCTCTGGGCGGACATATGTCGAGGCATAGGCGAGGTATTCTAGCTGCTGCTTCAGCTCTAGCTCACAGCAATTCCTATCGCATGCCCTGTTGAGAGTGCCGGTACAAATTCTGGATTTTTGATGTGATTGTCTCTGATTCGCAGAGGAGAGGCTGAAGCTAATGGACAAAGCAAAGGCGGAGGCCGATACTCACGAGGTCGCAGAAAGCCTGTGTGATCTGCAGAAAGCAGCACCGGAGAATTCTGGCATTGCTGAATGTGCTGCAGATGCTCCTGGCCAGGAGAAATGGAGCGCCTCGTCAATGGGAAAGGCAGTTGATATCCCTTGGAAGGGCGATCAGCAGCAGCTGCTGCCTTTTGAAGCAGGCATGCAATCTCAGCAGCATCAGCAGCATCAGCAGAAGCAGCAGCATCAGCAGCAGCATCAGCGAAAGCAGCATCAGCAGCAGCAGCATCAACAGCAGCAGCAGCATCAGCTGCACCAGCATCAACAGCAGCAGCAGCAGCTACCGTTGGATCGAAAGGTGTTTCACCATCGATTCACCATGCTGCCGGACCGTGTCCTGCTGCCTCCTGACTCTCCTCTGGTAGACCCTCTCTCACAGCCGTGTGAAAATGAGCTTTGTTTCACTTCTGCCCACCAGCAGTGGCAGCAGCAGCAGCATGAGAAGAAAAAGTGTTCAGGACCAGCCCTGCTGTTTTCGCCTCCTGCATCGCCCCCTTTGGACAATGTGACTCAGCAGCATGAGGCTGAGAGTGAAAATTCTCCTGATCCTGTTCCACACCAGCAGTATGTTTTGAATGATGTGAGCGGTGTTCCCGCAACAAGGGAGGTTGCAAGGTCGTGGCCTCCAATTGTACAGATTCAGAACTACAATCATGGAACTACACACACCACTCCAACTTGCTCGCGCGTTTTGGAGTTTGACTTGAATTTTGCTCCGTCAGATAATGAGGAGCCCTAGGTTGGGGAGTGCAGTCTACAGACGAGCGGTCTTGGGCTATAAGCTGTGTATGCGTTTGCATGTATTCTCTCCTCTTATGAGGGGCGGTTGAGTGCAATAATATGTACATTAGTATAGTGACAGCTGTATCAGGATTCACAAGTGGGTTTTTATAGTGAAGAGTTTAAAACATACTCTTTTCTCAGCTGGAACGACTTCGAAAGAACGATATCACAATGTACCGTACAGAACTCCTTTGCACTGACCACCTCTGGCCTCAGCTGGCAGCCACACCCCCACCACATGCCCACAACCTGACGCCCAATGTTGGCCTCTGGTAATTCAGCGAGATCGCTCGCGACGTGATGTCGCCACATTATGACCGTCGATCTCATCATCTGGAAGCATCTGCGAATCATATTGTCAATTCGATCATTGACGAAACATATCTGGAAGAGAAAGCATTTGTGGTGCGCCTCGATCGCGTTGTCCACATGCAACGCGACGGAGCAAACGAGCTGGTGTCACTCCAGCCGACCCAATCGATCACATTTCACATCACACACCACTATTCGCTTCGCTCCGCTTCGCACTTCTTCCAAATCGCCCCCATTGAATCCCATGAGCTCTCCACCATGCTTGCAGCACGACGCATGTTGCTGCGGTTTCTTTGCCTCCTCCTGCCCTATCCTATCCTATCCTAGCTACCACGTATGCTTGCTCCTTCACGGGTTCTACTCATCCGTGTCACTGCCGTTCTCCTTAGCGTCCGACAGACGGAATTCCGAACGTTTCCCTTGAAACATCCGGTAACAGACAAACTCACGCCGAACGTTCTTCCTCTTATTCAGTTTGTCCCGGTGATCCAGTTTTTCACCCTGCGACCTGCCCACGAGTCTTAGGTCGCAACTTGCGACTGGGCGAGGCGACGCGACCTCACGCCGTTACGTGTAGACGATTGCCACGTATTCGTTGTCTAAATTTCTTCGGCTGCTCCCATTGACTATTTTGAGGATGTGATAGCTTCTCGAATGCACTGTACGGTGGCGAATGCCTATCTGATTTTGAGTCGACTCAAAAACACAAGCGACCTCAGCGGGCTTTGAGGACTTCTTTAGCAATTTCGTATATTATATTAATTTCTGAGTATTCTGTCTATATCGTACCGGGAAGCATCGACACTGGACTGCCCACAGGTATCGCGGATTGCTACCCTGTTGATCATTAGTAGCCAGTGATCCGAACGAATTTTGCCTTCGAAATAATAGGCTCGACCTCGTTGTACCGGGCTTGTCCTACTGACCCGCCGAACGCACTACTAGTCCAAAATGGAACGTTTGTAGCCACAGATTCGGTGTCTAGCGGCGGTCGCAGCTATCATGGCCACGAGCCAGCCAGCGCAGACAGCTGCTGCTGCAGCATTAGCCGCAGTATCTCCAGTAGCAGCAGCAGCAACATTTCCAGCAGCGGCGGAGCAGCTTGACGCCGCGGACGATTTTCTGGACTCAGCCCGCGGATCTTGGACGCCCGAGGTGCGTTCCCGCAACTAAACGCTTTCACTGATCAACAGGCAATCTTCAAGGCACCCCTTTATCACAACTAAACGCTTCAGTTCCCCTTTCTCACCCTCCCCTTCCCTCTTTCTTCCGTTTCCCCCACTCCTTACTCGTTACCCCAACAACAGGAGGACGCAATCTTGCGGCGTGTGGTGTCGAAGCTAGGCGCGCACTGGGCACCCATTGACACGCTGCCACTGCTATAAAGTCAATGGCTGGCCCCATGTTTCCTACACTCCGTGTCCGCTCCTTCTCTCCCCCCTTCCCCCCACAACAACAGGAGGACCAGATCTTGTTGCGGATGGTGCGGAAGCTAGGCGGGCGGCACTGGAACAAGGTCGCGGAGAAGGTTCCGGGAAGGAGCGCCAAGAGCTGCCGGCTGCGGTGGTGCAACCAGCTGGACCCAACTGTGAAGCGCGGTGCTTTTAGCGAACTGGAGGATGTGATTCTAGCGGAGGCGCACGCGCGGCACGGGAATAAGTGGGCGCGGATCGCTAGGTATCTGCCTGGGCGCACGGACAACGCGATTAAGAACCACTGGAACTCCACTCTTAGACGGAAACGGCTGGGTGGCGAGCCTGCTGGAGCTGCTGATGGTGGTGCTGCTGATGGTGGTGCTGCTGATGGTGGTGCTACTGAACTGGTCGCGAGGTACCTCCCTGGGCGCACGGACAACGCGATTAAGAACCACTGGAACTCGACGCTTAGACGGAAACGGGTGGGTGGTGGGACTGGCGGTGCTGCTGCTGAGGCGTGCAAGGAAGAGGTCAACGCGATTACGGACCACTGGAGCTCCACTCTTAGACGGAAACGGCTGGGTGGTGGGGCGATTTGCGAGGCACGTAGGAAAGAGGACATTGGGGTTGAGGACCATTGGAACTCCACACTTAGACAGAAAGGAGTGGCTGCTGGGACTGGCGCTGGTGTTGCTGTTGCTGCTTCTAATGGGTACAATGCTGCAGCTGCAGCAGCTGAAACGGACGGAAAAGGTCTTCAGCTACTGCAGGAGAGAAGAGAAGCTAAGAGGAGGAAGATGGAGAGGAGCCATGGGTCTCAACAGCTGGAGAGTGGGTCTGCATATGCTCCTGCCGTTGAAGTGATTCAAAGCCCTCAAGATGAAGGTGATTGTGACGAGTGGTGGAAACCAAAGGAAGAGGCGCAGCAGCAGCAGCAGCAGCAGCAGCAATCGCTGGTGACGCTGCTAGCCAGCTCGAGCGCACCACAAATATGGGACTCGTTTGAACGCGCATTGGGGATAGGCGACGGCAGTGGCCGTGACCAGGAGGCTGTCAATAACGCGTATAGGTTTCCCAGCAGCTTTGAGGAGCTCGAGACTGGCTCAAGTGCAATGCAAGAGATGGTCAGAGGACGGTTGGAGGAATCCAGGCGGGTGGAGGAACAGAAGGGCGGGCTGAGAAGAGGGTGGGAGGAGGGGCAAGAGGGAGGCTGGGAGGGTGAAGGTAAGAGCGCATGGAAGGGAAAGAAGACGAGCAGGAGGAGGAGGAGGAAGGAAGATGCTGCAAAGGAATCGTCGTCGTCAGCTATCATGACTCTCGCGCTCCTCCTCTCCCGCATCCTCACGAAATCCGATCGCCCTCTCGACAGCGCTTCTATGTCCAAGCTTCCCCTGGCTGTCCCTCCTTCCACGGCTGCTGCTGCTGCTGCTGCTGCTGCTGGCAACACTAATGCCATTGCTACCTGCTCCTCGCCTCCCTCTCCTGTCCACTGCTCCTCTCCAACCCCTTCCGCTATGCCCCCCATTGGCTCTCCACACGCCACTCCACCCGCTTCTCCTCATGCCCCAGCACAACCCCCTTCGCCTGATTTGGCTTCCCTTCTCGCCCTCCTCCATCCCCTCATGCCTTCCCAATCCGCGCCCCCCTCTGCTCCTCCCCTTGCTCCGCCACCTGCCTTCCGAGAACCTTCCTCTGAGTTTGTTAGCAGACAGGAAGACTTGCATCAAGAGAATAGGGAACATAGGGACTACCATTATGATAACCATTGGCATCAGCAGCAAGCCGAAGAGCAAGCGGAGCAGCTGGAGCCGAAAGTGCAGCCGCTACCGCAGCAAGTGCAGCAACAAGTGCAGCAGAAGCAGCATGAGCAGCATGAGCAGCATGAGCAGCATGAGCTGCAAGTGCAACGCAGGCACAGCCAGCGCTATTTAATCACTGAGCTCGAGGCTGACCTTGGCCTGTCCCCATCCGACTTCAGACACTCCCCAACCGACTTCAGACACTCCCCAGCCGACTTCAGACACTCCCCAACCGACTTCAGACACTCCCCAACCGACTTCAGACACTCCCCAACCGACTTCAGACACTCCCCAACCGACTTCAGACACTCCCTAACCGACTTCAGACACTCCCCAACCGACTTCAGACACTCCCCAACCGACTTCAGACACTCCCCAACCGACCTCCGCCCCTCTCCGGCCGAACTTCACCACTCTCCATCCGACCTCACCCTTCCACCTTCCAGCGTTGAACTTCTACCAACCACGCTCGACCTTCCACTCGCTGATATGCCCTTTGAAGTTCCAACGTTAGGCTTCACGTGCCAAGTAGTGAGCGATGAGGACCACTGTACTGCGGTTGCGATGGGTGTAGAGGGGTTTGGTCTTGAGGCAGCACAAAACCAGTGTGATGTAGGTCGGTTGGGTAAAGAGGGGTTGGAAGCGGTGCAGCCAGTGGGAAGTGTAGTTGGGGAGGTTTCGGCAAATAGAGCGGGTACGGAAGAGAGCGAGCATGAGGAGGAGTGTGATTGTGAGGAGTGTGCTTGTAACGAGGAGAATGAGATAGAGCTGCCTGAGGAGGGTGAGAAGCGTGGCCTTGATGCTGTGTCGGGTGACAAGGAGTATGACAATGCCAGGCGTGACAATGGGGGGTGTGACTATGACCCAGACTGGGCAGATGTAATGGAGGGCGTGGATCTGCTGCCAGACAGGCTGCCAGAGGAAATCAACGGTGCTACTGATGATGATGATGAGCAGTTGGTTCCCATGGCACAAATTGCAAAGACTTGTTCCCTGCGAAGCTGCGGTGGGGAGCAACTTAGCCCTGACACCAGCTGCGCGAGTCAAGTGCCCCCCGAAAAGGTAAGCTGTCTGCTGCAGCAGGTGAACTGCCTGGTGACGTTTGAGTCGACTCACAAGTCACCTAGCCGTGCCACCAACAACACCAGCTGCACCAGTCAACTGTCCCCTGAGAAGGTAAGCTGTCTACTGCAGCAGGTGGACTGCCTGCTGGCTGTGCTGCGAGCTGCCAAGAGCTCCCCCTCTACCCGCTTATCCCCTCTAGCCACCTGCCACCAGTAGCCATGGCCCACGGCACCTGGAAGCTCTAGAAGGATTATTATCTGTGACTCTTGAGTTGCGCCAAGAGCCTTTTGATGAAAGATCTGCTTGCCAGGTGGGCTGCTGCTGGCTGTGATGCATTCAGCCAGAAGCTCCGCTACTTGCTGCTTACTACCCCATTTTTGAGGCGCCTCAAAAGCCACAAGCTTCTCTTCTTGCTGGCTATTGCCTCTTATACAAGTCGTAAAGCCACTGTCTGGACCTTTTTGTATTGTGTCGAAAGGATAGAATGAGAAGAACCTGTTACAACTACATACAAAAACGCAGCACAGGTTACCACCTCTCCTCTTGCGAGCTGGAAACTGGTGGAAGCTGCGTTTTGTCTTCTAGTAAAACTGTTAAACAGTTCATACCCGTTATAGGCTGCCTTGCTGTGTCACATCACAACTTGGGCGGGTGCTGTTGGCCGGCGGAATCTACTATTTGCAAGCACTTCTGAATGACGCCGCCCGGAATCAGATTCACGTTCCACAGCTTGACTAGATAAAGCATGAAGCACCTGTTGTGGGGAAAGGTGGAGAGTGAGCGGGGAGGGGAAGGGGGAGGAGGGAGGGGAAGTGGGATGGGGAGACAGGGGGGGGGAGAAGGGGAAGACAAGGTGTCAGCCACACAGGCAGTTATGGAGAATTTTTTATTCATGTTTTCGTTTATATTTCTATTGTAAAAGTTGGTTTTACTTCTATTTTAAATATTTTATTTCATAATTTTTGTTCTAATTTAGCCACTTAGAATAAAGCAGCGTATACAGGGGAATGGAGGCAAAGATGGCGAATGACAAGACAAGGGGCCATGGAATCAAGTGGAGTGAGAAAAGGGGAGTGGAAATCTTTTGAGGCGCCTCAAAAGTGGAAGGAGGGAGCATGGAAATTGGTGGAGAGAGAGAAGGGCTGGCGGCACTCACATGCGAGTGCATGGGGAGGAGGAGAGGAACTCCTTATGTCACGTGCCACTGTAACAATGTGACTACTGTGACAACTCAGACAAAAAAAAGGGCAGTGGCACTCACATGCGAGTGCATGGGGAGGAGGAGAGGAAGTCCTTATGTGTGATGGCGAAGGCCTCACACGCCCACGGCACATGCCTGTCTGCAATTACCCTGATAGGAAAAGGCAAGCACAATCAGAGACAGAAGGAGACGATTAGATGCACATGCGTGTGGGTCGCACAGTCATGTCCGCCACTCAGCGCAACCCACACACAGCAACCCCTCAACTCCATTAGCCAGTCGACCGCAAGCAGCACCCACCAACCGCCCACCTGTGGCGGCGCACAAACGCCATCCAGCGATGCATGATGCCCTGTGAGTCAAGTCAAAAGGCTTCCACACTCCACACTCCCACACACCCAACCCAACCCTTTCAACCCCTTACCCCCACACAGCAACCCCCGCTCACCTGTGGCGGCGCACAAACGCCATCCAGCGGTGCATGATGCCCTTCTCCTCTCCCAACACGTCCTCAAACTCGCCCAGCAACTGCTTGCATAAGAGGCAGCATAGGAAGACAGGCGCACTAGAAACATGCCACTCACTCAACCACACCCTAACCCCTCACCTGTGGCGGCGCACAAACGCCATCCAGCGGTGCATAATGCCCTTCTCCTCTCCCAACACGTCCTCAAACTCGCCCAGCAACTGCCGCGGCGGGCGAGGGAGAATAGATAAAGAGGGGCACTAGAAGAGGGCGGTAAGGGGTGTGCACTGTGCAGGAAATGACGGGGCGTAAGAAGAGGTAGAGGAGGGGTAGGGGGAAGAGGGAGAGGTGCAAGAAAGGGTAGATGAAGGGTAGGGGAAAGAGGGAGGGGTGCAAGGAGGGGTAGAAGAGGGGTAGGGGAACGGAACGAGGGAGGGGTGCAAGAAGAGTACATGAGCTGTCCATACGAGGCCTCTGCCAACCCCCACTCCCCACCGCACCTTCCAATCAGCACCACTCCAACCCCGCCATTCCCCACCCCCCACCCTCCTCCACGCCCCACCCTCCCCCACCCGCCCCCATCCCCCACTCGCTCCCATTCCTCACCGCACCTTTCGGTCGGCATACGAGGCGGCAGCTTCGTCCCACTCGTCCTCGCTGTCTGAATCCTGCACCATCTCCTGCGCCGTGATTGGCTGGCTTGGGGAGATACGGGAAACACGCAAGGGACAGGGAAAGGCAAGCGATAGGACAAGAAGTGGCAATAGGTTAGTCCCAAGAGCCGCCGTCCAAGAGAACGCAAGCTGCAGTTGTTGCGAGCGGGAGTACGATCAAGGGAGCCCCATCCAGGAGCCATGACTTTACGTGGCAGCAGCTTTTAGCAAAAACATTGGTTTGTTTTGCGTAAGCTTGCTTGAAAAATCCATAGTACAGGAAACGTTGGCAGTAACCAGTTTCAGCTCTTCGAGGCTTCTTCAGACAAGTGGCAAGAAGTGACAAGAAGTGGTGAAGTCACGAGCCGCCGTCTAAGAGAACGCAAGCTGCTGATGTTGCAGGTGAGAAAAGGTTTCGGACTTGACTGGAAGAGGGGGAGGGAAGGGGGGGAAGGTGGGGGGGGGGGGGGGGCACTTGACTGGAAGAGAGGAGTTGCCGGCCGACGGAGCTGCTACGTGGTGACTGACAAGTCGAGTCAGGAGCCCTTACTCACCTGCCATCGCTGCGAGTGGTAGAAGGTTCTCTGCAGGAGCCCTGATGACCTGCATTCAGCGAGTGGGGAGGGGTGGTGAGTGGGGGAGGAGTGGTGATTGAGTGGAGGGAGGTGGTGAGTGGGGAGGATTAATGAGTGGGAAGCGGTGGTGAGTGGGGAGGGGGTGTGAGAAGAAAGGACGCACATCTATGCTGTCTGTGGAACTGGGTTCACTACATATCATGTTTGCGGCAAATATGGTAAGAAATGGCACAGCATGGCTCTTGGGTCGACCCAAAAGCCTGTGGATCTGGGTTCTCAGACATAAAAAGTTCGTGGCAATTATGCTATGGCACAGCATGGGTCACACCCACCATGCATGCACCCACCCACCATTTCCTGCAGACCTCCTCCCTTGCCTCCTCTTCAGCCCGCTCAAATCGACGCCCTGACAACAAGCAAGGTCGGGGTGGAGTGATGAGTTGGGGGGAAATGAAGAAAGTGAGTGTGGTGAGAGACGATTTAACATGGATTGGGTGAGACAGAGAGGAGGGTGGGGCAGGAAGTAGGGAGAGGATGATGGGAGGAAGAGGGGCGGTGGGATCGTAACCAAAGGTGAGAGAGTGCTGTGCGGTGGGAGAGACAGAGAGGAGGAGGTGGTGCCAGAGGGATGCAGGAAACACAAAGGTTGGTTTCTTTTTCATCACATGCAGCAGTTCAGCCACGAGATATTAGTGTGCTTTTCAGAAGTCTCAAGAACAAAAACACACTTATTTCACGTTTCATCGCGTGCAGCAGTTCAGCCCGTTGTGACGCCTTTGCATCTCCCTCGTAGTTTTCCTCCCCTCGCATTCTTCCCTCACATTCTTCCCTCACATTCTCCCCTCCTTCTCCCTTCCTTTTCTTCCATACACCTTCTCTACCAGTACCAATGTGCAACCCACCTGATAAAAGTGATGTTTTGAGACGTCTCAAAACATCTCTACCGATACCAATGTGCAACCCACCTGATAAAAGTGATGTTTTGAGACGTCTCAAAACATCTCTACCGATACCAATGTGCAACCCACCTGATAAAAGTGATGTTTTGAGACGTCTCAAAACATCTCTACCGATACCAATGTGCAACCCACCTCTGTCTCTTGAAGCCTTCGCTTCCGCCCGCATCTCCTCAGCAATCCTTTGAGCCACCTCCAATGACATTTCTACTCTCTTCTTCTCCTCCACTGCCTCCACTTTCCCCTCCGCCTTCTCCTTCCCCTTTTTCTTCTCCTTCTCCTCTCTCTTCCCCTTCCTTTCTCCCCTCTCCTCCTCCTTTGCTCCCTCCTCCTCTGTCCCCTTCTCTTTTAATACCCCCCCACCCCCAAAATCTACTCTTTCTTTTCCTTTTGCTCCCCCTGCTGCTGCTGCTCCTGCTCCTTCTGCTGCTGCTGCTGCTCCTGCTCCTTCTGCTGCTGCTGCTGCTGCTGCTCCAGCTGCAGCAACACAAACATCACCTGCAGCAGCCCCACCATCCTTTTCACCACCCACACAAGCGCCACTGGCATCCTCACCATTGCGATTATCTCTGGCAGTGATGGCATCATTATGATCATAATCATCGTTATCAACACCCCATACACCATTGCCATTATCCCTGGCACCACCAGCACACAGGGAATCCTCCCCACGTCCCTCCCTCGCTCGCATGATGCAAGGTGTTTCCTCACATCCCTCATCCCTCCCACATCCCTCCCCACGTCCCTCCATTGCTCGCATGATGCAAGGCGCTTCCTCCTCGCCCACACGCTGCTGCTGCTGCCGCTGCTTTCCTCTGCCTCCTGCTCGCTTGTTGCGATGCCTGATGGTGAGAGCAAGTGGTTCAAAAAGGGGATATAAGCGGTAACTGAGAGAATAGTAACAAAGAGTGGTAACTCAAGAGTTTGAGAACGATTTGAGTGCGGAATCGGAGCAACCGCACCAGCTGCACCAAGGGTTAAAAGGTGAACGACCCTCCAACCCTTCCCATCCTTCCCACCCCTCCCGAACCTCCCAACCCTCTCGGCCATCCCCACCCTCTCGACCCTCCCTCACCCCTCCCAAACCCTCCCAACCCCGGCACTTCTCCGTCCCACCCCTGCCACCCTCCATGCCACTGCAAACACAGGCATCCTCTTGAACGGTCCTTCGTATTGATAGCATCCTATCTCTCTCTCACCAGAAGAATGGTGGGCCTTTGGCTTGCTGCCGATGAACTGATGCCGATGCCGTGACTGCTGGGCTCTCCAGATCCTGCAGACGAAAACGAATCGACAATTTTACTGCGTTGGCACAAAAATCTCGTGCTCGTGCTGCTCGTGCTGCTCGTGCTCAAATGTGCATCT